GATGAGCTACTGGTGTCAGGCCAGCCGCTTGGGTAGAGTGTGGGCTCAAGAGCCTTGTTCCTAATACTGGTACGAAAGGTGCAAAGGTACAAGGTAAAGGAGTACAAAATGTCACGCGTACACATCAGTCCAATCTCCACGGGCAGGGTCACATGGAGTGTCGTACGTTGCTGGCGGTACAACTCAAACGAGCACTGATTTCTGCGCGCGCCGACACCGTTAACCCCGCGTTCGCTGCTCGCTCACGTTACAGCCGCGTGCAATATTGCACACGGATGGCAAAGTGCGGTAACCATGAGGGTCAGCAGTCTTTTCATAAGGCATGCAACAGGCCATAACTGAACACGGAGCCCACCCACCCGGAATGCGACCTTAGCCATCACTTCATGAGCCTAAAGGCCCCCTATCGTGATAGGCCAGCAGCTTACATCGATCCCAGGAGTTCGCGCTGACACAACTTGCATGTGGGAGTACATAGCCAAGCCTCGCTGTCGTCGTTTCGGTCTGACGCCGCGTTCAAAGAGTGGGTGCTGTCGGTACTTATTCGCAAATGAACATTACGTGTCGTTTATAAACCACACCAGCTTCGCGCGCTCTGCCGCGGCAGGCCAGCACGCACCGGGACATAACCCGTCCGCAAGTGAGACGGCTCGGCGCGAAGCACGGAGGACGCTTGCAGCGGTCTGGCCCCTCTCCGCTGTCTGGCCGCTCACTGCTGTCTGGCCGCTCACTGCTGTCTGGCCGCTCACTGCTGTCTGACCGCTCGCCGCTGTCTGACCGCTCGGCGCTCTCTGATCAATTGCCACTGTCTGGTCGCCCGCGGCCGGTCGTCGTACTCAATTTAGTGTGCCTAACTACCTGTAAATAACGACTTTTCAGCCCTCTGCACAATACGGCTAAGTCGATAAATGGTCTTCGAGTTCCATGCAGTGGCTACGTGGCCGGTCGATAGGGTTCTGAGCGGGCGTCATCACGTGTCTCCTGGCTGCTTAATTTATGACTAAGCGGGGCGCTGTCACCCGAGGTGGAGGATGGGGTGTGGCGCCATACTCGGGGCTAGTGGGGGCTGGTGGGGGCAGGGGCTCCCGAGGGTAAGCGCTTGTGATAATTCAGCCGAAAATCAAGAGATACCTAACTACCGGCTGCGACAAAGCTGCCTATTACCCAAGCTCCCTCCCCCCTCCCTCCTTATCAAATTTACGGTGTGTGTAAAATAAACGTGAACTACTGGGTACACATGTAGACATAACAAGACATGCGATCTTGTTTGACGAAAACACAAACTTTCGCGCGACTGTAGCATACTTAACTCTGTTTTCACGGGATATTCCCGAATTGCGCCTCCCGCACAGTGAAATCTTACGTGCGCCCCAGGCCATGTGTGACGTCACCAGCGCCTGCCTACCGGCTGAGGAGGCCACAGCGTGAGCCTGTTGTACGGAAAAGACGCTTGAAACCAGTCTCCCGCCGCGTTGGCCGCGTTCATCAGCGCTAGAGATGAGGGTAGAAGGAAGCTCATGTAAATGAGCTTCCTCCTGAAGCTCATGTAAATAAGCACATGAGTAAGCTCACGTAAATTGCGTTCAGTAAAAGTCTGAATCCACCGCAGCCATCTCATAAATAATTAAAAACCACGCGCGGCACGTGTGCCATCGCTCCCTCCGCAAGAACATTATATCTGACAGATCACGGAGTACGAAACGCACTCTCCACGTCGTTTACAATAAATGGGACAGTCTAGCCACCGTCCGAAAAAAAGACATCCGCAGCAGGAAAAACCCGCCAAAACAACCAGCAGCCGTCGCAAGCGCTTTCCGAACCGGCAAGCGTCTTTTTGTTGGCATTGATTTCCGATCGAGCCCGCCACGTGGCCACCTGCTGAGCCGCACCCCTCACACCGCTGCACGCAGTCACCGGGAATGCGAACACGGCCCTGACCGCTCACGACTGACCCAGCGTTCGGTTTTGGCCCGGGCACGACACATCAGCCGACAACCAGACAGTGCATGACGGTGAGCAGCGGATGACTGCCGACGCTCGTGACGTCCGGCGGGTGTCCGTTCGTGGTACGGTAAGGTAGCGACGTCCGGCGAATGTCCGTTTGTGCTCCGGTAAGGTGGCGCAGCCACCGGCGAATGTTCGTTTGTGGTTCGGTACGGTAGCGACCTCCGGCGAGTGGTCCGGTAAGGTAGCGACGTCCGGCGTATGACCGTTTTTGGTCCGGTAAGGTGGCAACGTCCGGCGTATGTCCGTTTGTGGTCCGGTAAGGAAGCGACGTCCGGCGTATGTCCGTTTGTGGTCCGGTAAGGTGGCACAGCCACCGGTGAATGTTCGTTCGTGGTCCGGTAAGGTGGCGCAGCCATCGGCGAATGTCCGTTTGTGGTCCGGTAAGGTGGCGCAGCCATCGGCAAATGTCAGTTTGTGGTCCGGTAAGGTGTCGCAGCCACCGGCGAATGTCCGTTTGTGGTCCGGTAAGACAGCGCGACGTCCGCCGAGTGAATCGGGGTGTCGTTTGATAGGGGAAACTGGGCCGGGGCTGTTACCGGGACGATGCTGTTGTCCGTGGTCACATTACTGTCACGTGCGAAGCAGAGGGTTGAGAGAATCTTGGCAACAACAAAACAACAATTGTGTGCCTTAGTGGCTCGGGCCAGCCAGTCACGGTTTTTACAGGCCTCGAGTCATGTTTCTGACGGTCTTAAAAAGCAGCTTTCGGCAACAAGGAGTATAATTATTTAAAACGTTCCGTAATACTTCAAGAGCTTACTCGCGTGTATCAACGAGAACGCTTTCCGGGAACATTTCAATATCATCACAATTTCATCTTCCCCACCCTCCAACAACGGGGAAGACACGGCTTTATGACTGCAAACTTTTTGAAGTGCACGAGTTCAAACTAAGCTGAAATATGGACGAACTGGCGCCACAGGAAGCCAAGACAACGCATTTTTACGACGGAAAGAACGGACGATCGTGCTGGTAGAAGAGCAGGTCGATGCGTGCAGGCAGCCAAGGGTTTCAGACTAAAACTCCGACCCCGACGTTTTTGGGTGGGGAAGTGGCGTTTTTAGGCTGCGATCGGAGATTGTGGCACACGGAGCAGGGCAAGACGAAGAACCAACAGTTCTCCTTGTGCGAATGCGCCGTCTGTTACGCGCTACACGATCTCAGCAGAGGGTCAACTCATATCCATGTCAGTAATGGGCAGAGAGGCGCCAATCCAACAAAGCGGGACAACATGTCGAGGCCCAACATGAGGGCTCTCACTACGAAAACTGCACAGATTTGAGTGCAGGTTATTGCGACTGAGACCAAGCCAACATAGTTATGTTTTGCAATACTTTCGTCACTCTTTCCAAAAGCGTACACCACTGCAACTTGGACAGTACTGTTAGCCTAATTCCTCGTGGAATAACCGAGAGAAAGGGTATATATATATATATATATATATATATATATATATATATATATATATATACATATATATGCATCAATATTTGGGCTACATGCCTCAGTCAAAGTAATGCCGAAGTGTCGCTCATATCGATTTGAGGTGGTTCATTATCGTTTTGACGAAGGCATGCCACCAGTAAATCAATAAATGTACAGCTCCTTTCTCCTAGCTATTTGAAGAGGAAAAAAGCAATCAGTATTGTCTAATGCATGCGTAATGTTCCTCGCAGCTGCACATAAGAACTAACGGCTCCAGCCATCAATTTCATCGATTACAACTTTCATTCGTTGCCAAGCCTGACCCCACCTGGACTTTAAGCCCGCAATGTTCGTAGAGGCATGCTTGGACATCAAAAATCGTTGCGTCTCTTCGTGATAGACTCAGTAAGGAGGGACATCCCAAAAAGGGATAATACAATGACATGAACTATCTGCATGGATTCCCAAAGGCGACAGGCTTCATTCGCAGAGGCCTAGTGTCTCCATGAATTCCCAAAGGCGACAGGCTTCATTCGCAGAGCTCTTGGTGTCATCTTCATGAAGATAACACATCTGGTGTCACCTGTTTTTCCCATGCCGCAAAACGCGCCTTACTGAAGGTAACTAGCACGTACCACGACATCTAACCAGCAATCTATATGATGTAGATCAGTTTGGGCATGGGGCGGCAGCAGATGATGTCGATACCGCTAGGTCAAACAGCTACAACCAATATTGTTGAACTTTATGTACACGACCCCAAATATCCCACGAGACGCATCCCCGTGCCAATAACCACCACCATAACCGACGGTGGGCGGCTTTCCTTGACGCAGCTTGTGACGTCCGAAAAAGCCGGCAAACACGCCGGCGCGCGTGGCAACGAGACGCTTGACGTAGCCCATGACGCGCGAGGAGCGCGGCTGACCATCAGGGGAGCTGGCCAGAGCACGGCGATGGTGCCCGCGACGTGCTCGTCAAGCTACACCGGCTCGCGGCGGGGACGCGCCCACGTCAGGGGGCTGGCACCTTCTGCGGCATCTCCCCGGTGTCGGCCCCGTCGGCCAGCGATGAATTGTTAACAGCGTGCCGCCCGTGTCTCCGACATGCCTCGGGCGTTCTCAGAGCCAGTGGTAGGTCCAGTGGCACGATGCAACCAACGCAATGATCAGCGTTGCAAAACTACCCCTTCAACATGACGGGCGGCACTCCCAGCACGGTCTGTGGTCGGAAACGTATGCCTGGAAAGGAGCAGCGATCCCGCTTCGAGGCACCAAGTCGTGTAGTCTTCCTCGACAACACCGCGCCCCGCAGAGGATGGCGGGCGGCACAGGCTAACCGTGACCAGCGGCACGGGCTAGCCGTGACGGGCGGCACAGGCTAGCCGTGACCGGCGGCACAGGCTCTCCGTGACCGGTGGCACGGGCTAGCCGTGACTGGCGGCACAGGCTAGCTGTGACCAGCGGCACAGGCTGTCCGTGATCGGCCACACAGGCGGCGGCGGGCTGGCGGGCGGCACAGGCCCGCGTGCCGAGACGTGTCGCGCCCGGCGTGGCGCGCGCGCTCACCTTCTTGACGTAGCTGGTGGCGTCGTCCTCGGTGACGGGCTCTGCGGAGATGGCGCCGCGGCGGCGCACCGGGCCGGCCGACGGGGCCGGCAGCGGCGACAGGTCATCGCCGTCCTCCGGCGAGGCCGGCGGCTTGCGGGACTCCCGGGTCTGCTCCTGCGAACAGGGGCGCATGCGGGCGCGTTAGAACAGGGGCCGACTGATGCAGACACGGCGAGGACAGACGATGGGGGAAGCAGCCGATTACGGCTGACAAGGAACCGACAGATAGCCTGCTGTGGCGGCTGATTTAGACGCAAAGAGAAACAAACTGACAGAACCAAACAGATCGCCGACCACAACAGCCAACTTAGACGCCGACGGAAAACAAACTGACTAAAGCCACAGATGAACACTGACACGGAAACAACCGATCGCCTATTGTAGCAGCCCAGTTAGAAAAACGGGAAAACAAACAGGCCAGCTTTCACGCTGGCGCAGTACTGGTAAAAACCGGCACATGGGTTTCGGACGCAGACAACCGGACACTGACACGTGACAGGAAACCGGCGCACGCTATCCGCCACGGACACGCTTGACGGGGCACCCATCGCAGGGTGTGGAGCCAGTCCCACACACTTCTTATATGAAAAAAAAACGCGACGTACGTCGCCGCGCCCCTTTTATGGACCACCAGCGACCGTCTTGGTCACAGCACCAACCTCACCAGGGGTCAGCGTTGTCACCAACACCCCGCCGCCTGTGAGGGCTGCGCCCGCCAGGCCCGCAGACCCGGCTGATCTGGTCAGAGGGGCCGCTCTGACCGGCCGGGGCGAGTCCTAGGAGCCGCCTGTGGGGCTGCGCCCGCCAGGCCCGCAGACCTGGCTGACCTGGTCAGAGGGGCCGCTCTGACTGGCCCGGACGAGTCCTAGGAGCCGCCTGTGAGGGCCGCGCCCGCCAGGCCCGCAGACCTGGCTGACCTGGTCAGAGGGGCCGCTCTGACTGGCCCGGACGAGTCCCAGGAGCCGCCTGTGGGACTGCGCCCGCCAGGCCCGTAGATCTGGTTGACCTGGTCAGAGGGGCCGCTCTGACTGGCCCGGACGAGTCATAAGCGCCGCCTGTCTGGCACCGCACACAGGCAGCAGACAAGTGCGGTGAAGTCCGCCGGTTGGGAGGGCTTCCCTCCCGAATGACGCCACCGCCGACGACAGCTCCCGACCAGCACCACTCACGAGACGGGCGGGGACGCCGCCAGTCAGTGGAACATGGCGGGTCACCAGGTCCGTCCCCCGGCGGAAATGGCAGCCGCCATCCGACCGCCGCCTGCTGCCAGCCTTCCATCTTTATGAGATCACTTCGTGTCATCCGGTGCTGACGCCGCCGATGCGAGGCAGGATGTGCGCGCAGGAAGCGCCATAAAACACTTGACACGGGCTGTCAGGGGACTGTTTTATTGCTGTCAGCGATGCAAGCACACGGCGATATATTGAGCGCGATTTGAGAGCCACGAGATACGACGGAACACGACCAACTATCGTTTCTATGCCCTCGCGACATGTCACGGTTCGCAACAGCGGAAGTACACCTGGCGTTCCAGACCAAGTGATTGGGTGACTGGATAACACGCTGACGTTCTGCTGATCAATCTCACTTTCAGCGCCAAAACAGCGCAAAGCTTGAGAGCACTGTCAGCACGGCCCGAGCAGGCGGACTACGTTCAGAGCTCTCCGGACCGACACCGCCTGCTCGGACCAGCTCGAGAGCACTGTAAACCCGGCCCGAGTAGGCGGACTACGTTCAGAGCTCGCCGGACCAGCACCACCTGCTCGGGCGAGCGTGCCGAACCACGTCGCAGCCAGCCCACAAACAAAGCAAGCTGGATAGGTGAAAATGTGCTCAAGTCAGTCAGTGCGTGATTTTGACTCAAGTCACGCGGGGTTCTCAATCGGGAGCGAAGCGGAAATGTCGCGCGGCACGCCATCCTTCCAGTTTGAGACCCAGACCTTATTTGAAACCCAAACGACTCGCGCTAACGCCCATGCGCTGCCTGACATAGCGCACGCGAATTCCTCCATTCTATGCATATAAATTGTGGTGAAAATGACTATCCCAGCTATAAATACACACTGAGCAGCCGATCGTAATATTCAGCGACGTTTTCAAAACAAGCGACGGGAGCACGCTCCCTGCCAGCAGCTGGCGTCTAAAGATCGCCGGATAACAGTTTCACAGCAAGGGCAGGGGGCCAAGGCGTTCGGAAATAGCCATCAGCCGGATAGCATGCCAGCCTCTATTTCAACGATCCACATCCTGGAGGCCAAACCATTACAAATTCAGGCTGCGCAAACGCACGCGAGGCAAGCTTGTCAGTTTCACTCGCCCAGAATTCATGAATAATTCGCCATTGGGGTGGTTCGATAACCTGGACTCGTCGCCGCGCTATGCGAGCACGAAAATGATACGGCAATTTGGGTTATTTTACGACGCATGCAGCTCGTTTGGTCCGGTAGCATCACATATTTACCGGTGGCGGAGGAAGCGAAACATCAGTATAGCGTTCAGGCCTGAACTCACGATCCGGCGGCGCGGGAAGCGCGGAGCGTTGCCATAATACAGCCCCTCCTGATGCATTGCATGAAGGGGCCGTGCTTTTCAGCATAATGACTTATCATGCCACTCACGAACTATCCAATTTAACTTGCGTTAGGTATTTTATCGCCTGCAGAAGATAAATGCGCAGCTTGACGAGGCATTTATATGGGGGTCCCTATCTGACGCAGAATTGAAGCAGCCGATTTTTCCAAGCTTGTTTCAAATGTAGAAAGTTGCGAAATCTTGTCCTGGATCATACCGGTTCTACCTGTTTGCCAGCCATTTGCTCTTTACGCTGTGATGTTTCCACCCTGTTTGGGCTATAAGGCAGACCCTGTGGAAGCCTGCCATGCGGCAATATTCAGTTCAGGTCATGGTCATGGTTCAGGTTCAACAGTTTAGGTCATGTAGCGTTAAGGCAACGCTCACACCTGTACCAGTACAATCTGACTGTTAATAAAACGTCCAGACTGCCCAAAGCGGTGATTCAATGTCCGGAAAACGTTCAGACTAACACTGAACAGCAAAACCCAGCGAGAGAACAGCAAAAACAGCGGGAGCTCCTGGAACACGGCCCAAAACAGTTTCAGAACGCTTGCCTCCCTGAACAGACCATCCCGTCTTCGCAATGAAATGCGCTCGCAATTTCGGCTCCCCTCTCACCATTTCCCGCGCGCACTCCTGGCACCACCCCGGACGTAGCAGCAGCGAGAAACACAGCTGGCGCCTGGGCGGGGCGAATCAAAACGAAGGGAGACGGCGGCAGCAGTGGGCTGGTGACGCCGCCGTCCGCCGAGGCCCCACTGCCGCCGCCAGCTCCGCAGCGTGACAGGCCGGAGGCGGGGGCCAGAGTCCACGGCCGGCGAGCCCGCTTGACGTGGAATTTGCCCAGAATTTGCCCAGAAACCCATCTCACGACGCCCATAACAAGCGGATCAAGCGCAACTGGCCCGCTGCGCTGAAAGATCGGCACAGAGCTGCAGGCAGAAGTCGGCTTGTCTGCAGGTTTCAAGTTGGATGACTTTCAAGTTTATATCGAGCATGCGTTCGCGTGCAAGGAGCCTTTTTTCTTTTTACTTTTTGGCCGACACACGCACACACACCTGGACGAGCGAATACTCATACTCATACTCAACATACTGATACTCAACATACTCAGGAAGCGGTAGAATCCCTCCACCGAGATCTTTCACCATGGAGCGGGAGGAAGCCCCACGCAGCTCCCCATCAGCCACGGCTACATCGCCCGCCCAACATTGACACATGAGACACGATGCAGTAGCTTCCGTCGGCGTTGGCGCATCTCCAAAAGCTTGTTGAACGCATCAGCGACGGAAGCGGGTGTTGCTTCTTGGCGCGTGCCACGGCCAGAATTTACACCGGTACAATTCACAATTCCCAGCACGATGGTCGATGCTGGTACGTCAGCAGCATCGATTACCCAAACTAAAGTTCACAGAGTTCAGAGCTGAACCGCTGTAGGCCCGACTGAATGTCAACCTGTTGACCTTAATTCATTCAACCGTTAAGTAGCTATAGCTGGCTGAATCCGCGCCCGGACACAGACGCCGAATATACCGCTTCTAGAACGATTCCAGGTACCTGGTAGTGCATGTCAATACGTCGAAGCTTTTTGGGCTAAGAACTTCTGTTCTTGAACTGTTACTGTTAACTAATTTCAGACCAACCCAATCCACGCCGACAGAGATTCACTGCAATTGGCGTTGGCAGAGAGGACAACGTGTGCCTGCAGATGTGACGTCTAAACATACGGCGCGATGCCGAGCAGGTCCGGAAGGGGCCAGTTTGGTTGATCGCTGGCCCGGCAGAGCCAGACGTGCCAACTCCAGGCCAAATGACGCCCGGAGCCGGTGACCAATGGGGCAGCGCGTCAGCCGACCGCAGCAGCACGGAACGCGAGCCGGTGCCGTGACCCCTGACCTCCGCCGCCGCCGGCTGTCACGTGCAGAGCGTCTGGCGCGCGTCCGCCGCCGCGCGCGTGGCCACCAGAGGCAGACATGGAGGGGTACTGCTGAGCACGAGAGACACTCAAAAGGACAGAGGCTGGCGGCCAGGTCTACTTTCAACAAGCTTACGTTATACGACCGTCGTCGCATTCCAAGATAGCCCACGTTGTCAGGGCAGCGGACGGACACCACAAGCCTCGGCGCCGCGAGTAGCCGCCGGCGTCTCCGGGGCCCGATGCTGCCGGCCTGCCTAACGCTCCACGATAAGTGCCGCTGATGATGAGTGACTGCGAACGTGATCCGTCCCACAAACCAGTCGGATAACGGCTACCAGGAGTCATGGTCGACGGTCGTCGCGGCAGGGGTCGCGCGCTGCGCATGTGCGCCAGTCGGCGTCTTCCCACCAGGCGTCCGAGCTGGAAGCTGGGCGGTGATTACACGCGGGTGCTCACCGTTTGGTGACAGTTGCATCTGGTCGGATGCATCTAGTGCCTCACGGTTACAGGTAGTCCGTCAAAGTGATACCGCCCGTGATAGCAGTATAGCTCCCAAAACGACGGAATGCTTGAGTTCTACTGAGGGATAGTGAAGCCAGTTCCGAACGCGTCCATCGCGTGC